TTTTTTTTTTTTGGTGCCCGGGATCGAACTTGGGTCATTGCTTGCGCTTCAGGCGGTGAAACCACTGAGCTAAATCCCCAGCCCTTGCACTTTCTTTTAAAGGAAGCCTGGTTTATTTAGAATATCTCTCTGGCCATTATTTTTCCTATTCTGATCATTGAATGTCTTGATTCTTTTTGGTCCTTTCTCTTTCAGCAAACGGGTTTGAAGGATAACATGAAAATAATCTCTCATTACTCTGACTAGTGATTTCTGTCTCACTGAATCTTGTTTTTGGTAGATAAGTCTCAATTAAAGAGGATAAACCTAGATTTATAAAACATTAGATGTTGTCTACTGGAATTCTGTTTTGATTACTCAGCTATGAATCCCTACAGTGACAAGTTTTAAATAAAAAGGCTTTTTAAAGCCCCAACATAAGAAAGTATAATAAAATTTTTATTTTTACAATTAAGCATAATAATAAAGAACATATTATAACATGTTTGGTTTGTTGGCAATAATTAACCAGTTTAAATTGAAAATGTGAAATATCCTTGACACATCATTATGAAATATTTCAAAACAGAATCACCTGAAATTTACCCTTGCATTAAAATTATGAGAAATGAATTTAACAACATGTCTGGCACAATGACCAAATCTAGCTTATAATGCCATGAAATAGAAATTGTGCTGTAGTTGCATTGTCTAGGAAAGGTTTCCTTAAAAGCATAAATGAGAAATATTTATATTCATTTATGTGCTATTAGTGTTTAACAACCAATTCACGGAGCCAGAACATAGGAGATAATTTTGAGCATTTGCCAATTTCCATGTTGTAAATGTAAATACTTCATAAATTTCTACATATCCATATGGACATCACTATGAATTTGCCAAGGGATGAACTGTAGTGCCACATTACACAATTACATCCCACAGATACAATAGGTGTAAGTAATTTCAAAACCATAAATAATAACAAAATGTACTAAAATAATTAAGACATGATAAGATTGAGTATTTCATACATTAAATTTTCAACTATGGCTGTGTTTCACAACTAGCTCATATTATTTCTAAAGTTTTAATATGTGAGTCTTATTCCTTGGTACAAGGCAGCTACAGTACACCACTGCTGCACTTTTAAATATTTAAATTTGCTAGATTCACAAGAGTGAATATTTGAAAGGGTTCATTAGATTTACAGAAAAAGTTCACATTAAGATTTTAATTAAAAGTAAAGGATGCTGTGCAGCAAGGGAAAGTGCAGAGTAGCATTGGACAACCAAAAGATACACAGTGCAAGCTTTTCACAGTGCTTATTTGCACATGCGCACGTGCACACACACACCCCCCCCACACACACACACTTCTATGTTGAAAAATTGGTGTGATGAATCCTAACTTTAGGAGAGCTCAAGACACAAGTTTTCCCTCAATATCTTCGATTAACAATCCAACCAACCTATAGATTATCAGGAGAGTTTCAAACTAAATCTCATGTAAATCATACTGGCTTTGGGGCGGGGATTTAGCTCAGTGGTTCCGCGCCTGCCTCGAAAGCCCAAGGTCTTGAATTCCCCAGTACCAAAAAAAGAAAAAGGAAAAAAAAAAAACATAATGGCTTTATTTAGGCCTTGAGTCAAAGCTAAGTATCCTGTAAAGGAAGTATGGAATATATACACAATGGCCACATAGAAGAAAGCAATCCTATCATTTGCAGCATAATGGATGGAAATGGAGGACATTATGTGTAGTGAAATTAGCCAGACGCAGAAAAATAGGTACAGCACTCTGTCTTATGAGAAAGCTAAGAGATGACCTGAAAAAGTTCTGACTTCTTTTGGGTAGAGTGTATGTATATGATGGGGCAGGACAGGGAATGCTGGTGGGAAAAGGAAAATCATGTAAACCCCATTACCGTGTACAAAATTTTGTAAACCCAAGTTTATTTCCAGAGATTGAAAGAAGAAAAAAAACAAAAAAAGAAAGTGTAGGAGTTAAGGGAAAAAAGAGGGAGTAAATGGGCTATTTAGGAGAAAGAAGAGTCATGGGTAGAGAAGTGCAGAAGGATATTCAGAAAACAGTAAGGACCTAGCTAAGGCTTGTGACCATGATTTTAAGATAAGATTATTCAGTATGGTGTATTTTTTTCACTAGATATAATCATTCAGTAACTGGGAACCATCCACTAAAAAGTTGGGTGTAAATATTATTATGGTTTTTCCAGGCTAGCTGGTGAATGGAGGAATGAATGAGATTGAATGAAATTTGTAAATTTGTGACTTCTGAATTCACTATCTATAAGACAGGGGAACTATTACACAACCTGAAATACCCCTAAAGCCAATAGTAATACTATGTACTTTTTCTCCACTTTGAATTGCATTTTAAAAGCATCCTTTCTGTCTTTCATAAAGATATGCTCATGGCCCAAGGAGAAAGATGAGTATGCTCATTTCTACTGGAAATTGCAGTAGCTTTCTAACCTGTTTCCCTGGTTCTCATGGTGTACCATCACCCTCTACTCCAACCTCTACTCTTCAGCAATATTTTCAATGTGGATGTCAGATTATCTCACCTTTTCCTCTGTTTAGAAAACTCAGTGACCACCACTGGAGTTAGAATGACAATCCAAGATCATTGCCATGGTTACAAAGCCCTGCCTGCCCTAGTGCCCAGCTCCTTCTTTCATATTCTCTTCTATCACCTCTCAATTATCACCAGGCTTTTTTCCATACCATTCACCCACCTCCCTCATGTCTATCTCAGTAGTTTGTATATTTTGTCTTTTTGTCCTTTGGGTCCATCTCAATTGCTACCTCATCAGAGAAATTGTTTAGACTGTCCAATCTAAGTATTCCTTATCTGTCCAAATATTCTCTCGTGTCAGCTTTTATTTCATTAATAACATTTATCTCAATCCAAAATTATATTTTTGCATGTTTACTGCCTATTTTAAGCACTAAAGGTAGCACACCTGAAGAAACATGGAGTGTCTGCACCTGACAATTCCTGCATATCAATGTGTTCAATAAATTTGTGTGTCCAGATAGAAAGAAAGCACCATCACATCACATGGGTTATAAGCGTGGTGTCATTATGCATATCATTTGAGTCCTTCTTGAAAATGAAGAAGAGCAACACCACAAACAACTGAATGAAGAAGCATTTTTTAGTTTATTTTACCTGTCTTTAAATTTTTTGGCTACTATTCACTTCAGGAAATTAATTACAAAAGATGAGTTATTTGTAGAGATTACAAAGTCAGCTATGAGACAAGCTGCTAACATAAATATTCACAGTTCCCTGTTCTTGAGGATTTCACACCACTTTTGCTGAAAGAGAAGACAAATGACAAAAAGATTTAAAGAAAAGGTTACATAAATAGTCACAACTTAAAAATCATTCTTTAACTCCTCACAAATTTTGACTCTAAAATCAATGAGGGTAAATTCATCTATCACACATGAAAAACAATGACTGAAGCAAATATATTCTTTTCTCTAGTCTCCAATTTCTTGATCTGTAAATGAGAGACATGAGAACCTCTCATATCCCTTTTTTGGTCCAAAATCATATGATTTTATGAGGCACACAAGACACCTCACATATAAATAAAAACATAAATGTATATTATTTGTCTCAACATTCCAGTTTAACAAAATGCAATTATAATTTATAGAATAAAAACAATTTATTTTGTAAATACAACAAAATTCTCTAGTAATTAGAAAATATGCATTTTATCTTAATTATTAAATATATATTAAGATCTATTGTGGATGTACTGGTAAGATAAATCAGAATTACAACATTATTAATAATATTTTGGCAGCTTTTCTTTTCTTCCTGGCTTCTATATTTGTTAAGTAGTTAAATAATTTTATATTTTTATAAAATAAACAATTCAAAAAAAGTAAATAAATGAAGATGTTTTAGGTACAACTATATATTGAGAAAGATATTTGTATTTTGATATAGTAAAAAAAATGACCCAAGCTACCCCTCTACCATTAATTAAAAGAAAAAGATCTTGAAGTGATAGACAAGATGATCCTGAAGTCGACGTTATGTTCCATTTCACAGTTACTTTTCCTTCAGAGTCCAGTCTTGGAGGTGATCCAATTTCGGTAAGAAGTCACTCGTGTATAGACTCCTGGCTTATTCTTTCTAGCACATCCTTGATCCCAGCTTACTATTCCAACAAGGTGCCAGATATTTCTGGAGTCAAAATAAGCTAGTGGTCCACCAGAATCATTCTAGAAAAAGAAAGGAAGCTTATTTCTTATCTTATTGAAAAATTTCCTTTTATTTCTTCTCTGCAGTTATCAATAGCCCCTAGGTACTGAAATCATTTCATCCTGTTTGTATCAGAGGGCAATCAATCCTCCAACTTCCTAGAAAGGGGGATGGTGAGGGCTAAAGAAAAAAAGGCAATAGAGACTTCTGTAATTTCAAAGTATATAGGGGACTGGGAGGTCAGTGCCTCAGAGTGGGCAAAGACAAAGAGTCTGAGTTTGCCAGTATTTATGGGCACACACAATAATTGGAGGAAGCATCAGGTGACTTGGGGGTGTGGTAATCCTATGTTGATTCAGACCTCATGCTGATGAAGATCTTAGGTTACAAGGTTCTTATGCTGAGGAGGACTGTAAGGAAAGCATTCTTATAATAGCAGGTGGGCCCGCTGCAGACAGGCAGGTCGGTGCACGCCCTACCAAGGTCCTGAGTCACACGGAAGACACTGAATCACCCCGCTGCAGACAGGCAGCCACCTGATTCCACACTACAAAGATGCAGAGGACACCAGACCACCAGACCAAGGTACTGAGTCCCACTGTAGCTGGCCTAGAGGTAGGGGCTTCTGAGCCATCATCCCACTGCTCCTGGTCCAGAGGAAGGGGCTTCCCGGTCACCATCCCTTCCACTGCTCCCAGCACAGGGGAAAGGGCTTTTGGGCCACCTTCTGTCCCACTGCCCCTGGCCCAGAGGAAGGGGCTTCTGAGCCACCATCCCTACCACTGGTCCCGGCCCCTGTCCCACCTCACCCACCTCAGAGGAGGTAATCCATGCAGGTGCTAACAGCCCCCCGCCCCAGTCAAAATGAGAAAACACTTAAATAAGTCTCAAAACCAGACTTCCAGATCACCTACAGCAACCACAAAGGGAAATGAGATGGAACACTCTGATACTCAACCACCTGGACGCACTGAACT